CTCACACACCCTGTCACCACCCGTCACCACTCACACACCCTGTCACCACTCACACCCTGTCACCACTCACACACCCTGTCACCACCCGTCACCACTCACACACCCTGTCACCACCCGTCACCACTCACACACCCTGTCGCCCCCTGTCGCCACACACACACACCCTGTCACCACTCACACCCTATCATCACCCGTCACCACACACACACCCTGTCACCACCCGTCACCACTCACACACCCTGTCACCACCCGTCACCACTTACACACCCTGTCACCACCCGTCACCACTCACACGGAGGTGACGCCAGGGACGATGTTCACGCACGCAGCCAGCTTGGCCCCCACCAGCCCCCTGCACTGAGAAAAAACAAGGAGTCAAATTGTCCAACTAATTACCCACTTTCTTACCTCCAGCCCCAACACCTAGAAAAATAAGGAATCATATTGTCCAAATTATGACACACTTTCTCACCCACGGCACCAGCAGCCGTAGCACTGATACGCCCTTCTGCCAGGCCAAACTGGGTCAGGATGACCCACACAAAGGCAAACAATTTATCACTATTTTTTAAATGCTCCGCCCATTTTGTTGAGTGTAGGGACCATGAATTCATCACATAAGTCATCAAAAGTTCATCATATAAAATTCAATTCATTGTATCTTCATAAAAAGTTTTGTAAATTAAAAACACAATTGGAAACTGGACAAATTGCAACTCATTTCTTTTGGTGCTAACTGGCCATATAAATATTCTCATCATGTCACACACAACAGATTCTTCATTAAGTTTTATCTTCATTCAAAAACTGGATAATACAAACATAATTGCAGGATTAATATAATTGCAGACTATTTAATATAGAACAATAATTTGGCTGCAGCAACACAAACATTGTCAACAAACAAGATTTATTGGAAAGCAGTTCAATTTTATTTTTTATATGGTTCAAAATTTCAAATTTGTATGTATGATAATCCATGATAGTTTGCTGAACTCATCAGGACTCAGAAAATAAATAAAAAAAAGTTCTTCACCATAATGCTATACTATTATATAATAAATAAGTAATATAAACCTCAGTCACTCTTTAAGTGAAATTATTTCACTTAAATTACCCCTCAATTAGGCGTTCAAATTGTGTTGTAAAATCTGAATTACTTATTGATATTTAATCAACAATAAATAACACAGTTCCCTCCCCAACTTTGAGTTGTTAAACCACATCGCATCCCTTGCCTGGCATCCCCACATGAACCCTAACCCCACATCCCAACAGACACCCACCTCTTCACCCCCTCCCTGTCACGCATCTTGTCCACCCCCCCTCTCCTCACCTTCACCCCAACCCCCACCTTGCCAGGGTCTTGGCCACCTCCATGTTGGGGGCGGTAACATAGGTGACGCTGAACTCCGGGGTCTCTGAGGAGCTCGCCATGCCTGCAGTGACATGAAATTTTTAAATATCTACACTAAATAACAATTATCACAAAAAAATATGATAACCTAACAATTATCAGGGGCCATAGTGGACTTATACATATAAAAATATTTATTCATAATATCCAATTATTATTTCAGTAATTCAGGCCTTAACCAAACTTATTAAGTGGCAATTAGTAATTTAGGTATTTCTTTTTTTGGGCATACTATTAATTAGTAATTCAGGTGTTAACCAAACTAATTAACCAAACTCTGCTTGGATGCACAGGAAAAAGCGCCTACCTTCCTAATAATAAATGAATTTTTATTGAGAATAAAATAATCTCTCAGCAAGGAATTCACTGAAATGTTTGCCTGGACATCAATCATCTCAAGTTTGTATTGGTCTCTGATCGAATATGATATCTCAATTACGTATATACCATAATATAAAGACAATAAGAGGCCAGGTCAAGTCACCATACCTTCAATAATAACTTTTGCATACCATCATTAGTGCTAAAAATTTATATAATACAAGTACAATCAGCAAGGAAAACTGAAATTAATATGTAAATGTGATACCTACAAATATTATGAAATATATAGATTAAATCCTAAGTAATGAGAAAATGAAGAAATTAAAAACAAATAAATTTAGAATTTCAACTGAACAATAGCTCTTGCGCTATTACCACAAGGTTTAATTATAAAATGAAAATATGCACAGTAATTTAAAAGTCCATAGATCCAAATCACCACAAGTGGAACTAGAATTACTATAGAGCTTATTGCATGTACAGTCATTTGTTATTTATTAGGCATTTATTAGCCTAATGCTTTATTAGGCATTTATTAGCAGGCATTTGTTTGGGGGAAGAAAGCCAGGTACTTTGCTTCTTTATGCTGCCAGGCAAACATTATATTATTAATGGCAGGAGATTATACAATGGAAGATATAAGCTCAACAAACATCAGGGCATTTATATAATCATATGATTAATAGCAGGAGATTATAAAATGGAAGATATAAGCTCAAAAATATATGTTTAAAAATTACTTTTTAAAGACAATACTTCTAAAGAATCCAGTGTCTCCAATGATAAAGATGTACAATGAATTTCTCGTTTTATTTTCGAAAATTAAAAAAATTAATTTTTCACAATTTTTTAATATATAAAATTTTTTCAAAATTATTTAGTAGTATTCTGTCAATTGATTCATGCATTGCCTTCAACTTCACACGCGCATGCAAAATTTCGGATCAATTGGACAGGTGGAAGTGTGTCAAATATCATTTATAAGATTTGTAGCTGACAAAATTATTTTGTCAATTTTTTTTAATATTGAAAAAAAAAATTTAATTTTCAAAATTATTTATTCTGTCAATTGATTCATGCATTGTCTCCAACTTTATGCAAGTGTGCAAAATTTCAGATCGACTGGACTGTGGACAGGTAGAAGTGTGTTAAATATCGATTATATAAGATTTGTGGCAGACAAACAAACAAACAACAAGAAGTGAAGTTAAAGAGAAGTGTTGTAAAAACAGAAGGGCATTTATAAGATAATGAGATTACTTTGATTAATTAAATCTGTTCCAAAAGGTGGAATTTCAGCAAGTGCCTGGAGCACACATAGGCTAGTAAGAACAGCCAGTTCTTCACACAATTTGCCCCACACCATTTGCTTTGAATAATGACGATGAATTTGTCTACACTGAAAAGTGGTGGAATTTAATTAATATTCATCTATTTTTAAAATCCTTACATAAAAATAAATTGATATTGCATTTGCATCCATGACACTTAAATCATGCAGACAAGATACACAAAAAACTTAAATTGAGACAATCAGTTGCTTGTTTTTTATAGTGTGAGATTTTAAAGAGAGACCTGCAGTGGAGGCTAAGCTCGGCAGCAATGCAGTCAATGGGCGTAGGGAGAACAAGCCTCGAGTGGCACTGGCAGCATGTACGAACAAACTCATCAACACCACACCAAGGCAGACCTTAAATAAATCAAAATTATTAGGTATTATCTCAAATTATATTGTGGCCAGTATTTTAGTTAATGTAGTATCATAGGATACTAAAATATTCATAAATAAATAGGGCTAAACAAACGTTAAAATTATCTAGGAGACTAAGAGACTAGGAGTCTAGGACAAATGAGTGAAATGAGTGAATCAAGTGTGAATCAAGTCACGAAAAGTTCAAGAATCGGCAACAGGCCATGGGCCTATTTCTTCAACGCCGACACTTCTATTCTATTCTATTCTATTCTTAATGACATTCAAAAGAATCAGATTGATTTTGATTAACCGACATTAGCACACAATAGTCTAATAGATATTGCCATTAACTTCATATTTTTTTAACACAATAAAATTACCTGATTCTAGTTTTGTTTACAGCAAGAATTAAATTTCAAATTTACTGACCAAGTGTGCATTTATATAGGTATGGAAGAAGCTGCTTTCTAAATGGAACCAACTAAAAATCTGGTACAGGTATATAAAGGCAAATTAATTAATTCTTTTTGAAATTGTCCTCTTTGTCCATACACATGAGATGATGAGACGGTGATTGAGACCATCATGAGAGGAATAAGGACTAAGGAGAGAGTGTTTGTTACATTTGTTCAGCATAAAAGGCATATTTATTTTAGGCTAACTCTCAAACCACAACCAGCAGGCAGCCGCAGCAATTGTGATGAACAAACTAAATGTCACTTTGAACAGAATCAGCACGGATGGTAAGGTCAGTGCCACTGTAGAATCACTGGCCCACAGTGAGTCAGTGACGCGCTGCCGCCGCGGCGCGGCGGTTGACAGGCATTATGTAATAGAAAAACATTTACGAGTTGTCACAGTGGCACTTCCCGCACTTGGCCAAATAATAGCACATGTTTCTAAAATTAAAACATTTTTCCATTGCTTATTAACTGATCTTGGCTAAAAATAACTTTCGTTAGATAGCATTTTTGATGCGTCAGAAGTCGTGTAAACAAGTGTACACACTACACTGTGACTGTCAAATAAGTACCGTACTACCGTAACTTCGAAAGTCATTTTAGTTTACGGTCAGTTCACAAATCAGTCGGAATCACTTGTGTAAGTTGTGTTTCTACCGTTCAAGAGACGCGTCCTACCAAGACTTTACCATCACCCAAGGCTTTTGTGTAGTGGTTGCCGTGTGGAAACTGCGGTCTGCGGCGGCGTGCGAACCACGACATAAATTGGTTATTTGATCGGTTGGTGTGACACGATTACAAAATTCATACTAGTCACGTTATGTTTACGTACCTGCCGGACGCAGTAAAACTAAAAAGCTGACCCGGATATTTCATAACCTCTCTTTCCTCCATTACTTTCACGGAAGTCGAAATATTTTTCTGAAAAATACTATTGAAATAACATAATGTTGAAGTAACTGTATCATTTTGTATATCCCACCCGTATCAACCCACCCAACTGTAAGGTGATGGAATCGGTTGTGAGGGATAGGATTATCGACCGCTTGACTGTTAACCATCTTCTATCAGATTATCAGCATGTCTTTATTTCTGATAGATCATGCACCACTAATCTCCTGTCTACCTTGAATAATTGGACTCGCCTGTTGGACGTAAGGATGCCAGTGGATGCATTGTACCTCGATTTTGCCAAAGCATTTTACAGTGTTCCGCATGAGCGGCTGACGGCTGTTGCGTAAAGTGAAATCCTTGAGAAGTGAGGGAATCGTACTGCAATAATAAATAATAATGATCATAGTGTTTTCAGCGTTTATTAGGCCGTAGGCCTGTCGCCGATTCATAACATAGCAAAACATTCACAGCTTGTTGCGGTCTCGAACTCGCAACTCACTGCTCCAATTTTGCTTTGCTTAACCACCCGGCCTCTTGCCGATTATGACCAGAAACTGGCGCACAGAGTTGGGTTCGAACCTGCACGTCTCTGCTCCAATCCTGGCACTCTGAACAGTAACCACTGAGTCACCATAATGGATCAGAGATTTTCTAGTAGTAAAGAGACGACAAAGTGTCAGTATTAACGGAACCGTGTCAGACTGGGAATCAGTGCGCAGTGGCGTGCCACAAGGCAACGTTCTTGGGCCTATTTTGTTCGTTTTTTTTATAAGCGATCTGCCAGTAGTGTCAAGCGTGTGCTCCATGTATGCCGATGACACAAAAGTAGATAATAAAGTGAAGTATGCGTCAAATGAAGTGCAGTTGCCAGATGCTCTTGACAGTTTTGTTAACTGGGCTGATAAGTGGCAGCTGCGTTTCAATGCTCACATGTAGAAATAATAAATCGGACTTTAATTTCATATAGAGTTTCAAAAGTTTTTCAAGTTTTATAAAAACTTCATTTTCAATTACACTTAGGCGTCAAATAATGATTCCGGATAAAAAATAAACGATCGTAGTTCTGAGATAAAAATATATTTATTCTAACATTTCGGCTATCTATAATTTAGCCATCATCAGAGTGAATAAATGATGGCTAAAGTATAGATAGCAGAAACGTTAGAATAAATGGATTTTTATCTCAGAACTGCGATCGTTTTCTTTTTATCCAGAAGGGATCTTGTGCTGCTGTGGGTGAAGGGACCATCGCAGTATTGTCTGCCTGTCAGCCATCGGTGTAAGAAATATTCTCGATTATTCATAGGCTAGGATCAACAGAAGATAAAATCAAATATTTGGCCGATTGTTGAGCCGTTAAAATATTTTTTTAGATTTTTCTTAAAGAAAAAAATCAGTTTTGTTATTATTTATCTCGGGAATAATAGACAATTCACGTATAATTTGAAAATTAAATAATAATCTTACGACTGATAACTAACTAGAATGACTGATGACCAACCTCATGCTCAGTGACTTACTTCACAACTTAAGACTAACCTAATGACTGGCAACTAACCTCGACTGTGACCAACATCGTTACTAGCAACAAGCCTCAGACTAATGACTAACCTAATAACTTAAGACTCTCCTCCCTACGACTAGCTTTAAGACTTGCGACTGCCAGGAGGTCTTGCACATCATCTACCGCCGGGATCGGACATTTGGTCCGATTATCGGCCCAATTTTAGAAGAGGAAAGCAATGGACGCGCTCGCTCCAAAATTGCCTTAAAAGCCTGCAAAAGATAAGGCTTTTGGGTCGCGATCTCAGATTTGAGCACTGGCCGTTTTATAGTTAACTTTCTTAAATGAATGCTCATAATGTAATATATTTAAAGAGACTCGTCTACTTTGTGTTAAAGTCAGATTATTTCTCGCATTCACCTATGCAATTTTGAGAGTAGAATTAGGTATCACCAATCCCACGTATGATGTATCACTTATCACACATATCGTGTATCATTCACTAGTCTCACGTAACATGCATCAATAATCTTGCAAAGCGCGAATCACTAATCTCACGTATCATGTATCACTAATCACTGAAATTACGTATCACTAATCTCACATATCATGTATCACTAATGACAAAAATAACGTATAACCAATATCACGTATTATGTATGACTTATCATGGAAATCACATCTCTCTCTCATTGTACAAATCATATATAACTAATGTCGCAAATTTTGTATCAATTAAATACTAGTTGCCATTGTGCTGCTTTGAGTGCACACATTTACTACACTGCAACCGAGCTGCAATATTTTACTCGATATTAATCCCTGTTGTTGCACTCACATAAGACCGGCCACTCGAGCGAATAAGCGGACACGATACGTGGAAGTGACAGCGCTGCGTTGAAATTCAATGCAAAGCTTTTATTGGTTTCGATCGTTTTTTTTTCATAGCGAT